AAACATTCCTTAATGCCTTTTTTTTTGTGTAAGTTATATTAAAATAGAATAAAAATTAATCTGTAATAAAAAATTATCAAAAAATATCATGAGCAAACAATTAAAATAATGATATAGTAGTGCTGATTAGTTGGAATCCTGCCTCTTTAATTGTTACTTTCTGGTGAAAAAAGTCTAATTTTTTTGTGTTGTTTCTTTAATCAAAGTTTTTTTTTGACAAAATCCAGTACTGGGGCACAGCATTCCAGTAAGCTGTCAGGCATATCTGTTTTGTTTAATTTCTTTTTGAACATTATCTATATTTTATTATTCTCTTAAAAAACCGCTTTCATTTTTTTTTTGCCATTTTTTTCTCATAAACTTAAAATAGAAATAAACTGTAGAGTAATAGCATCAAAACAAAACCATAACTAAGGATTAAAATTAGTGTTGCCAGTTGAACTAGACATTAAAATCAATGTTGCCAGACTGTTTGACATTATATTCATCATTTACTAATGAATGATTTATGCATTTATAGATATTGTTATAATGAAACTATTTTTTCATAATGGACAGAAATTTTATTTCGTTAAACTGATATTTTCGTAATAATGCTATTCGTTAAACTGAAACATTTTTTCATTGAGCTGAAAAGGAAATTGGTGTGAGGATTCAAGATATATTCATTATATCGAGAATTTTGTTAAACTGGTGTTCGTTATATCGACATTTCACTGTATTAAATACTACCAGATTTAAACCTATCAGTAAAATTCAAATTAATTTATGAATTGCCAGTCTTTCCTTTTACTATTTGTAATTTCTTCCATTATTTTCTTCCTTAGAAAAGAAAGAGTTAATATGTGGAATTAATAATTGTTAATCATTCACTTTCTTACAACAAAATATTTCAAAAATATATGCAACAATATAACTTTTATTTGAAAAAGTAATTTAATAATTTCCAAATTCAAATCAGTTTTCTATATTGCATACAAACTAAATAGTATAAAACATGTATATGAGTGTGTTTGTATTTACATGGATATTATGCTTATTTTAATCATATGATGGGAGATATTTTAATGATAAATTAATATTTATTTACTATCAGGAAGGTTATAGTTGGCTGATTAATAAAAACAACAAAAATCTTGTTAATGTTCTATATTGGTTTATTAATGATGGTTTTAATTTGATATTTTTTTCATGAAAAGTTTATTGCTGTCTTTGAAAATATCTAAATAGACAGCGAATTAAAAGAAAAGGACTTATAATTGTATGTGCTGTAAACTAAAACTTCTAGATAATATTAAAAACACCTTTCTCCCTTTTTCTAGCAACTTTTAAATAAACAAACTAACATTTTCAGTTATTTTGAATAGCCTTCCTCAGGTTTAACATAATTTTGTAACATAAACAGTTATGTTTTAATTGACATTCAAAATTCTGTTAGAACTGAGGAAGGCTATTCAAAATAACTGAAAATGTTAGTTTGTTTATTTAAAAGTTGCTAGAAAAAGGGAGAAAGGTGTTTTTAATATTATCTAGAAGTTTTAGTTTACAGCACATACAATTATAAGTCCTTTTCTTTTAATTCGCTGTCTATTTAGATATTTTCAAAGACAGCAATAAACTTTTCATGAAAAAAATATCAAATTAAAACCATCATTAATAAACCAATATAGAACATTAACAAGATTTTTGTTGTTTTTATTAATCAGCCAACTATAACCTTCCTGATAGTAAATAAATATTAATTTATCATTAAAATATCTCCCATCATATGATTAAAATAAGCATAATATCCATGTAAATACAAACACACTCATATACATGTTTTATACTATTTAGTTTGTATGCAATATAGAAAACTGATTTGAATTTGGAAATTATTAAATTACTTTTTCAAATAAAAGTTATATTGTTGCATATATTTTTGAAATATTTTGTTGTAAGAAAGTGAATGATTAACAATTATTAATTCCACATATTAACTCTTTCTTTTCTAAGGAAGAAAATAATGGAAGAAATTACAAATAGTAAAAGGAAAGACTGGCAATTCATAAATTAATTTGAATTTTACTGATAGGTTTAAATCTGGTAGTATTTAATACAGTGAAATGTCGATATAACGAACACCAGTTTAACAAAATTCTCGATATAATGAATATATCTTGAATCCTCACACCAATTTCCTTTTCAGCTCAATGAAAAAATGTTTCAGTTTAACGAATAGCATTATTACGAAAATATCAGTTTAACGAAATAAAATTTCTGTCCATTATGAAAAAATAGTTTCATTATAACAATATCTATAAATGCATAAATCATTCATTAGTAAATGATGAATATAATGTCAAACAGTCTGGCAACATTGATTTTAATGTCTAGTTCAACTGGCAACACTAATTTTAATCCTTAGTTATGGTTTTGTTTTGATGCTATTACTCTACAGTTTATTTCTATTTTAAGTTTATGAGAAAAAAATGGCAAAAAAAAAATGAAAGCGGTTTTTTAAGAGAATAATAAAATATAGATAATGTTCAAAAAGAAATTAAACAAAACAGATATGCCTGACAGCTTACTGGAATGCTGTGCCCCAGTACTGGATTTTGTCAAAAAAAAACTTTGATTAAAGAAACAACACAAAAAAATTAGACTTTTTTCACCAGAAAGTAACAATTAAAGAGGCAGGATTCCAACTAATCAGCACTACTATATCATTATTTTAATTGTTTGCTCATGATATTTTTTGATAATTTTTTATTACAGATTAATTTTTATTCTAATTTAATATAACTTATGTTCTGAAAATGAAAAATTTGGTTCCATATAAATACTAATAGACAGACAAATTGCATTTTTAAAAACTTTCTTGCTTCAAAATGTAAGCAAAGTTTTATTATCAATAAATTTCTTTTATCCTTGCAGTTTTGACTGTACTTCAATATAGCAAAATATTTTGACTGTATAATGAAATTGAGAGGACTGACATTTCACTGTATATATGAAAAACTTATTTATCAGACAAATTACATTGTTAAATATTAAAAACAGAAAAAAAGCAAATTACTACATTTTTTGAAATACTAATCAACAGAAAACAATTCAAAAGTCCAAGTTAATCTAACCTTAACAGATACAAAATACTTTGATGACAATAATGAGATGTATAAAATCTGTTAGTTAATTTCCATGACTGAATTCATGTATATATGAAAAGATATATGAAAAAATTCAAGATATTGATGGCAATTAAGCAAATTGCATGACTCCATAAGAAGTATGAAGAATAGTGAAATGCTAGTATCATTGAAGCAGTCCAAATTTTCTTTCAGCTTACATATTTTTCAGAACTACACATCACATCATCAATCTTACAGAACTGAAACAAAACACATCAGAAGCATTCTAAAGCATTTGAGCATTTAGAAATTTCATTTTAAATGCTTTTAATTAATTTATTTTATTTTATTTTTTGGGCATTTTATAGTTCCATTAAAAATTCAAGCATTTAAACAAGTCATTCAAAATTTCCTAATGCTCGAAGGCTCTGGAATGGTTCTTTGATTTTTTGCGATTCTGTAGAATCTGTTGATAAAGATGTGTAATCCCAAAAATGTTTAATCCGAAAGAAAATGTGGATTCCCCTTCAGTGATTCTAGCATTCCAATATTCTTCAATTCATGATAGTTGATCTATATATTTGTCCCCTTTATAACTTAATTCACACATCATTCACATGCAATAAAATTTAATCTTTGCCTTTTGCTGGATCATCACAAATAATGAAAATGATTTGAATAATATAAAATCTCTTGACATGATTAATTACAAAAGTTGAGTAATATTCAAATGAAACTTATAAATTAATAATAATGATGCTTTCTGTCACATGTAATTGTTTCTCAAATTTCCTGTAACAGTTCGCTCGGTCCCATCGGTAATTCAGTCTCACACCTAAGGAAGAACTCACAGCAGTTCAAAAACATTTGTGGTGATCTTCATTCTTTGTTGTTATATCACACCGGTTATAGGTTCTAAGAGTGCAGTATTTAACACATCCTAGTGTTTGGCAGTCTTGTGTAGTATAAAGATTTTTTTGGTACATTATATAAAGTATTGTCTGTGTAATGTCTGAACTTAAGAATTATTATTATTATATTTCAAATGTTTAAAACTTTATATTTTTTATTTAAATGGCAATGTTCTCAAATAATTCTAGTATCTATAAATATGTAATTCTAAAAAAAATAGTTTCATTACAAAACGGATAATGATGATGAAAATGATAAAGCATTTCTATCTATGTATTACAAGTCAATTATTCCATAATTTATATCCAGCAATCTCACTGCATCCTTCTTATTGNTAAGAATTTCGCGTTGTAGGAATCCTTAAATACACGAGCCAATCACAGCCCGACACGTGTGCAGTTTACGGACTACGGCTGTTTGAAAGGTTCTCTTCCATAAAATTATTGATTCTAGACTAATTTGACTTGAACGTTTCCAAAACACGTATAATTTTTTGGGAATAATCCGTATAAACTATGCTATAAACAAAAAATTGTAGGATTACTTATTGAGTGCGACCCGTTCGACGACGCCATTGCTTAAGCTTGTTTTCGTTGTGGAGCAGCGCACCAAACAGCGGGTGCGTTTTCTGATAAGTTATTTTTCTGCGAAAAATTTGTTGAACTTTGGAGACATCATTAATAGAAATAATTTTTATGGCCATTGAATAAGAAATGTTTTTTTCACAAGAAATGTATAAAATTACAGTACTGTATTAGACTTACAGAACCTAATTCATATACTGTACAGACAATAGTAAACTCAACTTACCTGCCTAAACTCTCCGTAGCACGTAAGTAGTTCGGCTGCTCATCCACTATTGGTCCAGATTCGACCAATCCTGTCGCGACACGAGTTAACGATGACGTTTTACCGCATTTTATGAGTCCCTTTTAGTGTCTTTATACGAATACGGTCGCAATTTTTTCGCCGCGATATACGAACCCTCATTATATGAACCCGCGTTATAGGGGGGTTGACTGTATATTAACAAGAAACGATGAAACATTAATATATAATTATATTTGCATGCAGTTATTCATTCACTTATAACTCCTAAAAAATGTTACTGAGAAAATCATATGTGGTCTTAAACTTTTTTCTTGCTCTGTATATTTAATGTGCATAATAAACAATTAGTTTCATTTTATAATAGAAAACATAATTTGTTGTAAACAATTAGTTTGAAGAATATTCATTACTATAATCCATATTTCTTTAAAATTGCAGATAGTACCTTAAAAAAAAAAAAAAAAGGTAAACATTTTTGAATTTAAATTAAAATCTAAATTTTTATAATGTTAGGTTATAAGAGAAGGAAATGAATGGAAAATGATTGGAAAGGCGAAAGAAGAAATAATTAATGATTGGGAAAATGCACCACGCTATGAAATAGTTTCATTAAATGCAAACTCCTATTACAAAGTTGAAGTTAGAGCTCATAATCAAATAGGTTTTAGTCAAGATGCTACAATGATTTTTCAAACAGCAGCAGGTAATATAACAATATATTTAAGAATATGTTAGTATTAGTTGTTGTAAGTTTATGTTGAATGAAATGTATTGCAAATCCAATCCTTTGCTTGTATGTACAAACTGCACCACCTTAAATTCACCTCTATATTTGCACCATTCAATTAAATTTTATTTAATATTATGTATAATTACAAAAAGTTATATTATTCTATTTAATATTTAAATTAAAGTACTTAAAGTAGTATTACAAAATTTTATTTTAATAAATGAAAGAACTCTTTGATGATTCTATTGCAAAGCTTTGAATTTTTGAATTCACTTATTTATTATGTTAAATATTGTTAAAATTAAATTATTTTTATAATGTTTTCGTTAGTTACAGTAGCACTTAGATTTTTTACTGAGAGATCCAAGATCAAATTAGTATGGGCCCTCACAATTTCAAGACATGAATTGAGCTGGATCTTTTAGTTTTTGCAATTCTTAACTACCCAAATGCATAATGTAGATTATCCTCATAAAAAACATAAATGCACAATAATTATATCTATAATGAACTAAAATTACAAAATTCTTACTCAGTAAATCTTTAATAATTTTTTATATTTTACCTTAAAATTATATATAGATATTTTTTATATTATTAATTTTAGATTATTAATATAAATGCAGTATTTTTAATTATAATATATCATATTTATTAAGCATTTTAAGAAATAAATAATCAGAATCATGCCAAAAATATTTGTTGCTTGGATGCAAAGTCTGCATTTCCAAATTTTGTTATATGTTGCCATTTGTTACTTTAAATCCTTTTCTTGATCACTGTGCATTCTTTACAATTATAATTGGCATGATTCTGCATAAAATTATTGTAAATAAAATTTTTAATTCAGTTGATTTATTTAAAAAAAAAATAAATGAATCAATATATCATTAAACCATATTACTTATTTTAAAATTTGAAAAAAAATTAAATTTATTTATTACTTTAATATATTTTTTCATTTATATAATTATTCAGATATAATAATTTAAATAAAACATTAATATTTTCTTATAATTATTCTAATACCCAGATTAAATCAAGTCTTTAAGCACTTGCACTGGGTCCTTCTTCATATTGGCTCTTTTAGTATCACTTGTGTGTGTTTTGTATTGTATTTTGAGTGTTGTGTGCTTCTTTTTTCTTTTATTCTAGATCCCAGCAAAGGGGCACAAGGCTTCCCATTCAGCTCTTCGGGTACATTACGTTGCCTTTCCAATATCACTCCTGCTAAATTAAATAATCCTGCATGTTACTGAGTAGTAAAGATTTATTTAAGTCTTTACTATATGCACAACCTTGCACATATTTTTTTATTAATGCTAGGCATGCTTATACCAATTGCATGTACTAATTTACTAATAATATAACCCTAATAACTTTGCATGTTTAATTTTCATCTTTAGTAATCAGTCTTAGAATTAATATTAACTCTATATTAATTTTTATAATTATATAAATTAAGAATTTAATAAAATTATATATATTTNTATATACATAATATAAATTTTTTAAATTTATATTTTAACATTAATAATTTTGTGCAAAAAAACTGTGAATAAAGCTTTTTTTACAAATATATATATTCTGGAACATGCAATTTATTCTAATTTAAAATATTTCTAAATATTTAAACTTTTTCAGTGTTTGTTATACTGTTTTTAATAATCAAGCATGTAAATCTAGACAGTTTTTAAACAAATACAGTCGATTCTGTTTAATTTGGCCACCAGTTAATCGGGACAGCCACTTTATTGGGCCAAATCTCAAAGAAAGGAAACCAAACTAATAAATTAATACATAATTTAATCGCTTAATTGGGACAGTAGCAGAAAAGGAATTTAGCAAGTTTTGATATATTTTAGGGATCTTCTGAAAATATATAGATACTACATACACTAATGTCATGTAGGCCTAATGATTGGCAGAAACAAAACGATTTTGTCTTTTGCTCAGGGAGTTCGGTTTTTCTGGAGGTGGTCACCATAGCAGAACCTATCACACAGAGATCCCATCTGAGATGGGCCTGAATGCAAGCTACTAACTCTGCTCCGGATTGGACCAGACAATCCCTTTAAAAGCGAAGGGACAAAAATCCCCAGATAATTTTCCAAGGTCTCTTGACTGAGTTGAAAGACAGCTAGAGTTTCCTTGGAAGGTATTGTGTGCATAATTATGTCTAGATTCGAACAGCAGCCATCTGGTCATTGAGACAAACATCCTTAGCTGGCAGATTCTATGGATGCTCCTGCCAAAGTGGCCTATCTCCAAGTAAAGGAAACTGTGCTCTAAGGAAGACCCATAAGGTGACTTTTGGACGAACCCTTTCCATTTTCCCTTTTTAGTTAGAACATGCTCTAACTAAAAAGGGAGAAAGGAAAAATTGTTTGATCAGGAATGAATTGAACGGTCAACCCTTGTGCACGTCACTACTAATACTGTATTTAGCGGCACTAGCATGATGCGAATCAGTTATCTATCATCAAGAGTCTGGCAAATTTATAATACAAATATTTCTGTATTTTGGTTTAAGAAAGCATTAAAATAGGTACCTAATTATTATTTTTTATCTACATATTTATTTACCTATGTATTACATATTTTATTTTAGAATTTATTTTTAATTTGTTTAATTGGGCCAAAATAGATTAGTCCTAACGTGTCCCAATTAAATGGAATTGACTGTATTGCTAATCTTCTAATATAGAATCAGATTTTAAGATAGAAAGTTTGATTTCTTGTTATTTTAATTTTTTACTGCATATGCTGTTACATTTTTTTTATATGTATTTAATAATATACATAAAATAATAATGATTATGAATAAAATCATTAATACATAATGCATTAATAATTTTATTCATAATCATTACATTAAAAGGCATGTAAATTGCAAAATATTTGTCTTTATTCTCTCCAAGTTTACAATAATAATATATTAAAGCTTTTAAAATTAACATGTTATTTCCTTATGACATGTCATGGCATAAGTATCATGAGAAAGAATAAGTAAGCATTTCTTTTCTCAAGAACTAGAACTTTATTCTTTCTCAAAACTAATGTATATATAGTCTTAGTCTCAGAAAAGCAATAATGCTAACTTGCCAAAATCAATTCACAGATGGAAAAGAATTTAACCATTATAATAGATATAAATGAACAAAACATAAACTTGTTAAAAGTTAATTATCAAAAATAGAAATTTATGCTGCTTTTTTAGGTATCCATATGTTTTATTATATGTAAAAATGTTTTGTCTTTTTAGGTGAGATTTTTCAATTTAAATGTTGTTGAAAGCATTAATCTTCCTTTGCACCTGAATATTTGTTGTCCATTATAGTTTAATTAATGAAGTTTCATTATAGCAACTGTTGTTGTTCTTTTCCAAACATAAGTGACATTGTGTTTATTCAAAATCAAAAAGTGTTGATAAGTATTTATTACTTTTAATTTTAATTTAATTAATTTGCCATTGTGCTTTCCAAATGAATCAAGGAAAAAGATGAAAATAAAGATATTTCGTTTTGACTTTTGACTAAGACTTCCTTTGCTAATCAGAAACTACACCAGTATAATAAGTCCTATTTATAAACAAGATCCAAGTAGACAATACAAAAAACATAAAAGTAAAACACTAAGGACATAGAGGTAAAAAAGAATGAATCAAGGATAAACTTATCATCATTCCAGTATTGAAAAATTTTTTATTGATTCATATGTTAGAGTTTAATAATTGAAATAGGCTATTATGTGATCACTTTTTTACAACAGTAATATTTGTTATTCCTAATATGCATTTTTTCTTATATTTTTATATAGTCTTATTTAAATTACTATTATTTTTTTTAAAAGTAATTTATCTTGTATGGTCTTATTCTTTAATTCTATGATTTATCTCATTCATAATTTTTCTGATGATTTATATTAATTGACCAAATAATCAATTTATGATCAATCATTATATCATAAAGGTTGGCATAACTGCACAAACTGAATCTAGTTATCAAACATAATTAAATCCTTTTAATTAAATAACTTTGCATTCAGTTAGATAAAACTTGTATTCAGTTAGATACATTCATTAAAGAACAAAGTCCAATGCAACAATGCCTCAAATTATTTTTGTTTTTATTGGTAAACAAATAGATCTAAATCAGATCTATAGATCAAAGTGTATACATATGGAATAGTTGCCTCTACTACACTATTTAAACATACTAGAGTAAATTTTCCTGTTGTACTGCAAATTTATTAATCTAATCTCATAAACGATTATCTTAACTATAACACTTGAAAAATGATTAAAAATAATATAACTCGTGGACAAAAAATAGTTAGTTAATATTTCTATGTTTGTTTATTTATTATTAGCATCATGGGTATCACCTTTGATGCTTTAATTTTTTTATTCTAAAAATATTGAAAGAAAAGAAGTTTAGTTATCTATGTATGGCCAATTTATAAAATGTTTCAAAATCAAGCGGTGCAACATGCAATATTCTCATAAAATAACACTACTTCAACTATCACCATGGAAAATGTGAACTGCATAAATGCTTTATAAAAGTAATACAAATATTTTCCAAGGAATCCTAACTGAAATCTTCTTAAATCTCCAGTGCATACAAAATAAATGACAATACCATTGTATTAAATAAATGTCAATATCACATAAATTCTGCAAACTGGCAGACACCTCATTTCAATAATCTTATGAATAATCATCATAGCATAAGCATAATGATTTTTCACATAAACTGAGAAATATTGTATGGAAGGAAAAAAATGCATTCCAACATTTATAGGAGGAAACTATCACAATTACATTTCCACAAAACCAACATTTCTTATATTTTGATAATACTAAACTACAATGCTAGATTTCCTTAGATTTAATGTCAAAAAATTATTAAGATAATCATCATTGTATTAAATTACTGAACATTAAACTGTTTCAAATCATGAGACATATCTGCCGAAAGAATTATATTATCCACATAGGCCAAAATGTTAATTTGCTCAATACCATCACTTATTAAATTATTAATTTTGTAAATCAAGACATTGAAAAAAATGCTTAAAAAACAGAAATCATGACATATCCTTGTTTATTCTCAAAACAAATATAAAAAGGAACACAAATAATTATGTTCAGATATTATAATCATCTTAGAATCAGCATAAAATTTCACTGATATATTCACAAACTTACAACTAACACTATGACTTAAAAGTTTTCACCATAATAAAACTGCTACCAATACTATTAAAAACTGCTGATAAATTAATAAAAAATGCATACAGCTTTCTTCATTTCTTATTCAGCACTGTATTGTGAACAAAATAAAAATATTATTCAAAATAGAGTAAATTCAAATTAATCTTTTGTATAAAATTTACAGAAAATTTCTGAAATATTACATAGAATCATTATCCCTCTATAATTAAACATTATAATTTAATTTAACTCCACTTTTATTAATTGATTAAAATAGAAGTATTTCATTGAATGGCTACTGCTGAAGTCTTATAAATCTAATTACACAAATCTAAAATATAAGAGAAAACTAAATTAACTTGCCAGAATTAGAATGGAATACTGTCAATACATGCTACTGTGAGGTTACCAACTAAATGGAGGGAATCAGTTAATTCCGTGTCGGGAATGGTCTAGGGTCTGGAGTTAGAGGCAGAGATGACATGTGTCCTTACAAAAACTGTTTATTATAGTAGATAATTGACTTACATGTATGTTGACAAGAAGTTCATTGTTATGAGGTCACTCATTGAAGTCTGTAGTTGATAGATTCCAGTCCTTTTAGAAGAGTTGGAGCTGGACAGTATGTTGATAAAGTCTTGCATAGATGTTTCATCATCGGCCCAGGGCAGAGATGATGATGATGAAGTGGCTGGTCAAGTTGACCACTTGTCAAAGTCCATAAGCAACAGGATAATTCATAACAGAAGTGACATAGATTAGTTGCGCATTGAGACCAGCAGAAAACTGTATTTCAAACTTGAAATTCAGGGAAATTCTCCCTCTTTCTTTTGATCTTACCTTTTGATTGGTCCTAGTTTTCTTGTCTAACTTTCCAATTGATCTCTCTCCTGTCTCCAGGTGAAAACTGAGAGCCATTCAGGATGGACTTTGACTGGGAGATGTTGATGGAACTTAGAAACCTACACTTGTATTTAACCTGTTATTTCCTTTCTCCTGATACCTTAGAATACTAATGACCTAACACGATGTCTTCTTGCTGCCAATTCCTTTCTTTTCCCGCATTTTACTTCACTTTGATCTATTATTTACAAGCACCAGTGTCAAAATTCTCTCTCTCCAATTCAACACTAATCTATTTCCTAGCACATGTAGGAGTCACATCTGGGACTCACCTGTTTATGATCACACCGC